TTCCTCCTGGAGGCCCCTGGATAGTATAGTTTGGCACAGCACTGTGTCTGGAAGTCTATCTCCCAAGGACCCCTGGAAATTATAGTCTGGCACCCTGTGAGAAACTCCTCCACCCACAGGTCCCTTGGTAGTGTAGTATAGCATTTTGGTACAGTAGTCTTCCTCCCAGGGATTCTGGGAAATGACTCTTGCATTCTGACTGAAAGTTTTCTTACTGGAGCTCTTTGGGTATTTTAGTCTAAAGCTCTACTGGAAGTCTACCTCCCAAAGGCCACTGGGCAAGGTAGTCTGGCATGTCTGCCTAGAAATCCTCCCCTGGTGAATCTGGGATGTTTCTTGGGCCTTCTGGCCACAAGTTTTCCAAGCACAGGCACATAGCTAATGTAGTTCAGTGCTCTGTCTGGAAGTCTATCTCCTGAAGGCCTCTGGAAATTAGAGTTTGATGCCCTGCTAAGAATTCTTCCTCCGAGTGGGCTTGGGGTAATATAGTTAGCATTTCTGCCCACAGGTATTCCTCTGGGCAACTCTAGAAAAGGTATTCTGGACATCTTGCTAAAAATTTCCTCCCAGATGACCCCTGGGTAGTGTGGTCTGAAAGGTCTACCTACAAGTCTTCTTAGAGACTTCTCTATAGTGTTATTACATATTATCATATGTATAACTATGAAATATATATATATTTATACACACATATATATACATATATGTGAAAGATGTACATACACATGCAAATATATATATATATATACACACACATATATAAATATATATATATAGAGAGAGAGAGAAAAGATTAGAGCTTAATTTTTTAAGAAGAGGGGGAGGGAGAATATTACAAGCAGAAAAAAGAACATGCACAATGCCCTAGAAACAGGACTATTATTGTGTTGGAAAATTGCAAGAATGTGTTTGGAGCAGAGTAAGCAAGGAAGAAATGAGAAATTGAGATTAGAGAGGAAGCAGAGTTTCAGATCCAAAAGTTGCTTTGTAGGCTATTTTAAGGACTTCGAGTTTTACTCTAAGAGAGGATGACATCTCCATTTGGGCAGAGCAGTAATTGATTTTGACTCATGTTTTTATGGGGCCACTTTGGCTACTCAGTTGAGAACAGACAGTGGGGGAAGGGGAGGGAAGATACAAGCAAGGAAAAAGATTGAAAAGCTATTGAAATAATTGAAGCAAAAAGTAACTAGGTTGATCAATGGAGCTGGTGAGAAACTCACATTCCGAGCATACCCACACACACCAGTATTTGTGTGTGTGTGTGTGTGTATGAGCTGGGGAGGGAAGAGAGAAAAGGAGGCAAAGGGAAACAGAAATAGGCTTCTTAGATATGGTCTTACTGTGTCAAGATCCTCCTGCCAGCCCCCCAATCATCCAGGACCACAGGCATGTGCCACCTAACCTAACTTTCAGATAGGGTCTTGCTATGTTACCCAGATCAAGTTGAGCTTGCAGTCCTCCCGCCTCAGCCTCTTGAGTCACTGGGATTACAGAAACTTTCCATTGTACCCAGCCTTTCCGTGGGACCAGGAGTCAAACCTGGGCTTTCATGTGGAACCAGACTGTAGGGCACAGCTTCTCAGCTGTGCCACTACAACTAGGCCAAATATTGAATATATTTTTTAAGCAGATGGGGCCAGCTAGTGCTCTACAATGTTGGATCTTCATGGAAGAGTTCAGGTTGCTAACAGCAGCCCTACAATTATAATATTATCAACCCCATTTTACTGATTAGAAAACACAGGCTCAGACATGGTAAACTACCTAACAAGACCACATAGCAAGTTACAGAGCCAAATATCAAGCTAGGACTGCCTAAGGCTACTATAGCATACTGTAGGTGATGGCAAAAAGGTCCACAAATCTGTTAAGAAAAGTAGCAATCCTAGCAAAGGAGCTTATATAAATGCAGAGTGTTAGTCTTCGTTTCCTAAATTTCTAGTTGGTAGACCTAGAGAGAAGTCCAAAGAAGATAGCTTAATATTACCTATACGATCATGATGCATAGCCAGTTTTGGGACACACACACACACACACACACACACAGACAAAATGTGTGAACAAAAGTGGGAAACAAGACCTGCATGCCTTCCTGAAGGTTAGTATAGAGATGCCTCCAACTCCAGGCTGAGCTAATGGATAGTTCGGAAGAGAAGGCATGGCTGGCTCAGGAGCCACACTGACCAGGAAGAAAAGGGATACAGTTTCTCAAGAAACACTTATATGGCCCATTCACATGGAAGGAGATCCCTCTACTAATGCTACCTAAAATCAAATTACCTTTTTTATTTTCACAGGTGACCCTTGTTGAGCTTATTGGCCAGTAGTCCTCGTCCTAGATACACCTAGGAATAATCCGAGAACTTTTAGAAAATATTAATCTCTAAGCTCCAATAAAGGCAGTGATTCAGAATCTCAGAGATTGGGGAGTCTGTCTTTTCATGTGTTTCCCATGGGGTTCATAATGTACCCAATTCAGTATTAGTTTGTGAACCCATGTGTGGGAGCCAGTGTCTAGAGAATTAAAGTGCTAGGGGTTTTTTTTTTGGAGAGGTTTTTGCTATAGGGCGCGTGCGCTCGCCAGACAGACAGACAGAGACAGAGAGATAGAGAGCGAGAAATCACCCCCCAGGGGGGATGGCCACGCCACAATCCCTTCTCCTCCATTCTCCTCTTGGGATCTTGGGCACGCACGCACACGCGCCCAGCGTGAGTTTAAGCCACGGGGTCCGGGACGTGAACCGCGGTCGACTACGTGGGAGTCCAGCAACATAGCCATTACGCTAACTCTGGTCCCAAGCGCTAGGCTTTTTTCACATGTCCTCACATTAAGCTAGGAATCTCTTAACAAATGGTGCATATTTACTTTAAGCATTTTTTGTTAGAAGTGTAGACTTATGTGTACATAAGTGTAAATCATTGCATTGTTTGAGGTAGTTACCACTTAGCTACATATAGCTTCTGAGCACCGGAAATGAGGCTAGTCCAGGCTGGCTTGGTGAAACAGCAATATCAGTGCTGCTCAAGTTGGATCCATATGAATGACTGAGGAGTCAGTTCCCAGGTTGACTTGTATGTACTAGGCATCCATACAAAGATACTGGCTGGCTGGGAAGACAGCAGGTAGGGAGGGATCACAGTTGAGGGTGATTCTCTCTCTTTCAAAAAAAGCTCCCATTAAAAAAAAAAAAAAGAAGAAGAAGAAAGAAATGTGGATATTCTGAATCTAAATGTGTTTTAAGTATAAAACATATACTGCATTTTAGACAGAAAAAAAGAATGTAAACTATCTCATTAATAAATTTATATGTATTTAATGTCAAAATAGTATTTCAGATTTATTGGGTTAAGTAGGTTATACTGCAAAAGATCATTTCACCTGTGTCTTTTTTGTTATTGTTGTTGTTTGATTTTGTTTTTGTTTTTGTTTTGTTTGTTTGTTTTTAGTTTTTGCTATAGGGTGCATGTTCTCACCTGAGAGAGACAGAGAGTGGGAAAGTGAGAAATTGCCCTATCAACCCCCAGCAGGGAATGGCCACATTGAAATCCCCTCTCCTCAATTCTCATCTTGGGATTTGGGGCATGCACAGAGATGCATCTGACATGTCCTCAAAACTGCTGAGACTGGGACTTAAACCATGAAGTTAGACATGTAGGATTCAGCTGCCTGAACCACCATGCCACTGGCTGGCTCTCGCCTGTGTCTTCTTACTCTTTTCAGTGTATTTCCTAGAAATGATAAAATTCCATATGTGACTTTAGCACTGACTAGCATGTATCATTGATTTTTTCATTGTTATCACACTATAATATGGACTTCCACAGTCCTTTGCCCATAACTCTTTAAGAGACTTGTCACAAGATATTCTAATTATCATTTTAATGTCAATCTCCACTACTAGTCTGTGGATGGTTCAAGGACTCCAGACCTTCTCACCTGCCATTCTACACCTAGCACAGTGTGTGACACCTGACAGATGTTCACAAACAGATTAACTTCTTTGCCTTCCTTGCCCTGGGACACATGGATTGTTAATTGCAGAGCACAGACTCTAAGTCAGGTCGCTTGACTTCTGCTCTAATGTGCTATCCATGACATCCCACTCCCTTAAACCTTTTCTCTAAAGATTAGCACAAGAAACAAATCAAAGGAAAACTCAAATCAGTCCAATTTACTACTCATTAGCAGTTTTTATGAAGACTGGTTTTGGAAGAGATTGAAACTCAAAGCTAATGTGACATTTTGAATTATCTCAAGTTGTCACTTTTCCATGCTGTGCTTCACTCTCATTAGGAAAAGTAATCAAGATCTGTGCCTATTATTGTACTGTGTTCCTCCCTGTTATTAAAGCTTAGCTCTCAGAGGTATCTAATGCTCTTGTTGATGTTGCACTTTTACTTTTCTTATTGGCACAAAAAGTCCAGTTTTTTTCTCGATTAATGTATTGGAATTTTCCCTTTTCAGACTACGCCCTCAGCCTAACAATTAGATATACATATTGATTTTTCTCTGAAAGCATTTGCATTTCTGTAACTTGATGGATACCTTCAAGTCCCTTTATCGTGCAGCCATTCTATCATGCTTTCAGTTTCCCCTGGGACTGTCTGCTAACATCAGGGCATCTCTGAGTTGTGCAGGAACTTGGGGAAATGTTTCTTGTATACAAATAAACAATTTGACTTTAAAATATACTTTTAAATTCACAAGCAGGGCTAGCTGTGATGACCTAGTAGGAAAAAATAGTTCACAATGCTGAAACCATATGGGAAGGTTCTAGGTTTATGTCTGGCACAACCCATGATCCTAGCTGGCTGAGGCTTGGGACAGATTGTGGCATGAGATCCTATTGGGGGTGCCTCTCTCTTTTTCTAACAGAAGAAATAAAAATAAATAAATAAAAACTTAAAAACAGAAATTTGCAAGTTCATCCTATCAATAGTTATTGTTGATTATCTGAATAAAGTTCCAAAGTAACATATATAGAAGAAATACTTACACACTTGCTTATTGGGCAATCAGTACATGTGAAGATTCTTTATTAGTACCCAATCACTACTTTTTCTTGTTTGGTTCAGGAAACATTCCTTTGTGTACTTTATTGTCAAGTGCTCTGTTCCTGGCTAACTTCATTTCTCCTACTAAGAGAAAACGTAACAATGCTGTTATTACTAACAAGGCTATGGCTCTTCGGTATCCTTCATATTACATATGACATCATCTTGCCTACTGATTTCCTAAAAACTGGTTACATCATTATTCATGTAATAATGTAATCCTTCATCGTACTACCCATGAATATTGGCTTCCAATGACTCACTCAAAGGTGTTGCTATTTTACTGATGATTATCAGAAAGGCAGATCTGACCCAAAGTATTGCAGAATATGTGAATGATAATCCATTTTCTGATTGTGAAATTTGTCATTTAGAACTTTGTAGCCTAAACATAGGAAAATACTTGCAACCATGTATTCTCTTAATGAAATCATCGTCACTGCCTTCTTTAAGTGTGATTTCTTTTTTATAAGTTTATTTATTTCTTGAGAGAGAGAGAGAGAATGACAAACATTCCTAACAAGGTGTCATGCCATCATCCTTCCCCCAGCCTTTCTAGCCAGTCAGAATAATGGGCACATGCATGTGCACACGGCATGTGCAGGTTGACTCGGGAACTAAATCCTGATCTCCCATATCGCTTCAGCATCACAGAGTTGCAAGCTACTACTGTGCCACTGTGGCTATATCATGTCATCTCATCTGACATTAGCAGTTGCAGGGCTGAGGGGGAAGAGTGCTTGTTGAAGGTCCCTTTCTCGTTTTCTCTTAGAAAATGAGTAAGTAGACTTCTAAGAAAGTATAAATATTTTTAAAGGCATCCCTGAGCCCGCCGAGTTGGTACCATGAGCAAAGCTCACCCTCCCGAATTGAAAAAATTTATGGACAAGAAGTTATCATTAAAATTAAATGGTGGCAGACATGTCCAAGGAATATTGCGGGGATTTGATCCATTTATGAATCTTGTGATAGATGAATGTGTGGAGATGGCAACTAGTGGGCAACAGAACAATATTGGAATGGTGGTAATATGAGGAAATAGTATCATCATGTTAGAAGCCTTGGAACGAGTATAAATAATGGCTGTTCAACAGAAAAATCCATGTCCCCTTGTCAACAGGCCCGTTTTTACTATGATGTAAAAATCAGGTCATGTACATTTCCATAATAAACTTTTTGTTAAGTAAAAAAAAAAAAAAGAAAGTATAAATATTTTATGATATTAATATATTCCATAATGCTTCCTGATACTCAGCCTAATAAATGTATATAATGTTGGCCAAGTTTTAGTGACAAAAGATTGTGATAGTGTCTGTTTTTATCATCTCCCTCCTAGGCAATATACTATAGTAGTAAAACCATGTTTTTTGAGACTCTTAGGACAGAGTTCAAATTTTGCCTTCATGTGAAATATTAACAAGTTACTTAATCTCTGGTTTCAATTTTCTTTTCTGTAAAAGGGGATTAATAACATCTGCCTCATAGGGTAAGTTATGAAGAGTAAACAGGATAATGCATGCTAGGAACTTAGCAAACAATAGGCAACTAAAATATACTATTAGGTCATCACAAATGTCATGACATATTTCTGTAGGTTTTTCTATGCAAAAATGCATCGTGACTTCCTGACAACCCAGTTGTCAACTTCCTTCCTACCTTACTCTGCCAGTATCCTCTGGTCTCCCAGATCCAAGCACAGTGTTTCTGACTACCATGTGTTTGTTGATGTGACTCCTGGTCCAGAAAATTCTATGCTCACACTTCTGACCTCATACTCCACCATGTCAAAGGAATTTATGGCATTTCAAAATTTTCTGTGGTTCATGACAACAGTAATAAAAGGTTATTTCAGAGGTTAGCCAGATTCTAACCTAGGCTGAGAGCAAAGTCTGCCTTCATATTAATTGATAGAAAAACAAGCACATAAAAAAGGTTCCACTCTATATTAATCACAACTTGCTTTTACACAGTTTTCTCAAATATCTTTATATCATGGTCTTAAGTACATATCATAATTTTACCTTTAAAATATTGCCTATAGGGCAACAGTTTTGAATCATGTCCCCAAATGGAACAAATTTGCCTTTTGTCTCCCATCCACTCAACCTCTCACTGTCCTCTGAGTTAATCAGGTAACTTGAAATTAAGGGCAAAATGATTTGGATATTTACCCTAAAAACAATAACAAACAGTATGTTTTTATCATTGATCTTCCATCCACCAGACTCTCTGGAACCCCAGTCTTCCAAGTTCCTTTACCTAACTCAATTACACTAAATTGAACTTGCTGCAGCCAGTGAAATAATATCTACTGTCTTGGAATTGGGGGTGGAAATTTTGAATTGAATAGCTATTTCGGACAATTCTGGTCTTTTAGTATTCTTGAATTCACAATTTATTTTGCTGACTAGTGGTTCTTAAACTGCTTATTACCGTATATTACACTATCTTCTCAAAATCCACATGCATACTCCCTATCCGCTGAGATTCTGATATAATACATCTTGGGTAGAGTTCAGGTATCTGTATGTTTTTTTCAAGTTTGAAGGTGGTACTAATGTGTATCAAATGTTGACAGCCATTGTTTGGGATTGATAATTATTATTATTATTATTATTTTTTGGAGAGGTTTTTTTCACTATAGGGCGTGTGCGCTTGCCAGACAAACAGACAGAGACAGAGAGATAGAGAGCGAGAAATCACCCCCCCAGTGGGGATGGTCACGCCGCAATCCTTTCCCCTCCATTCTCCTCTTGGGATCTTGGGCATGCACGCACACGTGCCCAGCGTGAGTTTTAAGCCACCGGGTCCGGGACACGAACCGCGGTCGACTACGTGGGAGTCTAGCGACATAGCCATTACGCTAACTGCTGGTTCTGATCATTATTCTTGAATATAAAGCTACCCATGGCTTTATGTCCACATTTAATTCAGATCCCAGGAAGGCAGCACTAGCAGTATGTTTTTTTTGTTTTTGGTTTACATATTTTCCATCCTATTGCCAATTCAAACACCCTATCACTTGAAACACATATAGCCATGGGAGATATAGAAATTCAGATAGAAAATTAATTAACACCTCTAACCTATAAAATGACTTACATGAGCACATAAAATCATGCAGCAGGAAACTTGATTCATTAACTAGTCCTTTATTCTATTTTACATTCTCCAAGAAATATTTTGAAAGATCACAGTTGGTCTCTTTGACATCAGATGAAAATGTTAGGGCAGTCTACAAAACAGCCTTGAGTTTATTAACAAATTCCATTTGTAGATGCATCCATTAATTAGGCCAAATTTCTTTTGAAGTTAGTTATGATTAGCTTATTCCACTGTTAAAACAATTAGTAAAGTTTGTTACCGTGAAATCATTATGTATGTTCTAAAACATGTGAATCTCTCTTTCTCTCTCTTTTTTTCTTTCTCATCTTTAATATGTGTTGTTACCCTCTTACCTCAGTATCCAAGCTGGGACTGCAAGCCTATGCCACTACATCTGGCTGTTTTCTAGACAAGGTCTTGCTATGCTGTCCAGGCCATTCTTGAGCTCCTACTCATCCTGGATCAACATCCACTGGTTTCTGGAATTACAGGTGCATGTCACCAAGCCTGGCCTTTAGGTTGGACTGGAAATGGAGCCCTGGTCTCCCATGTGGTCCTAGCCTGCAGAGCAGCACTGCATCTTAGCAGTGTGGCTTACCACCATACTGGGTCCTTGAATCACTTTCTTTCCTAGCGTTTGATAGGATTGCATTTCCCTACCCATTGAACCTTTTAACATACTTTGGCCAACAAAATACAAGTAAAAGTGGTGTGTTACTTCCTAGAAGAAGGTTTAACAGAAAGTTCATGCTTTACCATGTCCCCTTGTATGCCAGCCATGTTCAATTGGGTTGTTGAGAAAGTCATGATGCATTTTTGCACAGAGAAACAAAAAAATACGTCATGACTTTCCTGATCGCCTAATAGATAGTGATGGTGTCACTAACTATGGCTCCAGAGTAAATGACAGAGAGCAGCATCCCTATTTAGTCCTTGATGGATGATATTATTATTGTTTTTCTGTTTTTTGGTTTTTGTTTTTTTGCCACTGCAATCTGGAGATTGAAATCCTAGTAACCGTCTTTCAGGTAAAATAGTACTGTTTTCTTAGTGCTACAGAAGTCAGTCTTCATTTTACCCATATTGTACACAATTCTCTGAATTTTTATGCTGTCCTTTGTCCTCCCATTGAATTTCCTTTTTTAATTTTTTTTTACATTTAAACACTGTGTATCATTACTGCATACCAAGTGAATTTTCCCATCATGAATATACTGCATGTAGGTTCAGTCAAAGACATTACCATATACATTACCGTCAACAGGTTTCTTTCCATTCTGGGTTCCTTATATGTTTTGCTGCTTTCTTTGTTGCCTTGATTCCCTCTCTCTCAGCTTCCCCCCTTTCTCATACTCCTCCCCACTGTCTCCAGGATCATCATTGCTCTTAATTATACTTCATTTAACCAAATTTCTTATTTGCTTTTTTGTAATGCATTTCCCATCCCTCGATTTTAAGTATCCATGACTGCAACTTTTATAGTTCTCTTATCATGTGTTTAAGGTGTCAACTGAGATACCCTGAAGTAATTTCAGCACACAGGTGAATAGAATGGTTTACTGCCCTTCCACATCTGGAAAAAACAGTAGCCTACATCACAGAAGATATACTCTGGGTACTTTAAAGGTGCTCCTGCTAGACCCAGACAATGAAAAATATATTTCACCCCTTAAATTTCTTTCCCAAGGGGACCAGCAAATGACATTATAGTTATATCATGGGACTCCCATATAACTGACTGTGTTTTGAGTCCCAGACCTGGTGGCTTAAAACTTACACTGGGCACATGTGTGTGCATGTCCAAAATCCCAAGAGGAGAATGGAGGAGAAGGGATTGTGGTGTAGTCTTCCTCCCCTCCAGGAGATTTCTCACTTTCTCTCTGTCTCTCGGTGAGTGTATGCACTGTATAGCAAAACAAACAAACAAACAAACAAAAAACCATCTCTTAAAAAAATTATTTCCCAAATTCTTTTTTTATTTTATTTTTTAAAAATGTTTGCCATAGGGCATGTGTACTCACTGGAGAAAGAGA